TTAAGGTACTTTCCAACATGATAAGGGGAGTAATCATAAAGCTGATGTATGCCAATATGATTATTATGGATGTTGCTAGCATAACAATTTCTGGGACTTTTTTTTTAATGTTATACTCATAACTGAATCAAACTATATGAACAAAAATGTCCAGAGGGAAACAAACCTTCGTGAGCCTGCCAGTCAAACCTCAGCCTCCTACTGAGTCTGTACTTCACAGTCACACCATTGTGAGGTAATGCAGGCCTGCAATAAGCGTACACATGCGGAGTTCGCAGTCTGTCCTGCTCCTGCTTAACACTGGGTGTTAAAGCAACCCATAGCATTCCAGGAAAAGAGCACAATTTATCCACTGCCATTCCAGGTCTCATCAGCATTGGTGGCCACAAGCCACAATCAGGCACCCTTTGGCCAGGCAACTCTCCCTCCCATCCAGAGAGGGGACAAATTCACAATGTATTCAGAGAGGCTGCAGAAGTTTGCTTGGGGGATTGTCAGGTAAGAGAACAGAGCAAAGATACACATCATCTGTTGTACCGCTACTCGTGGTAACCTCTCAGCAAGGGACTCAAGTGCCCAGGAACAGATGGGGAGAAACATGGTAACAGAGACCTCTAAGTGTAACATACAAGCATATAGAAGAAACTTCAAACTGTATTTCAGGGTTTTTTTACTCTGAAAACTTATGGGGGAGAAGGGAATGTTCTTGAAACCACAGTTAAAAAAAGCCCAAGAAAACGGCATGAAATTCTATTTCGTGCCCAAATATTCCTCTATCATCTTAGCTGAATAAGTTTTAGATTGATTTTTATGTTGCCCCGGCAGATGTAACAGCATCTTGAATGGTACAATTACAATAGAAAGCAGAGAAGTAACAAACAGGTAACAGTATGCTCTTGAGTAAAAGAGGATATGGTCTCTATACACACACATGTATGCATACATAGGTATCAGAACTTAAAAGCATTAACCGATTTGGTTAAGCTGTGCTAATACACTGGTATTGCTCATTTTCTTGGAGTCCCTTTAGTTTGTGGGGGTTAGGACAAGAGGCTGAGGTTACACTGAGGTTAGTGGACACGTGTCAGCCAAGCCTGACCTAACCCTGGGTTTCTTCCTGGTCATTGTGTCTTCCCCTCTAAATAATACTAAAAATAGGAAGAAACCACAGTGATGCAGTTGGGTTCCAAATAACTATTTTTAGTAGCTGCATACAAACACACAAGGCAGAGCTGTGCACACTGACTGCTCCTCCAAAACCTCCTCCCTGGCTCCATGGATGTCCTGCTCATAGCCTCTGCCCTTCCCACCATCAGTCCTGCCACATAAGATAAGGAGATCCCTAAGACTGTAACGGGAACAACCTGTTTCCAAAGTTCTATATTAACCTAAGTGCTGTCTAATCTCATTCCTCTGCCTGGTATAAGAGGACCTTTGTAATACAGCATAGGTGACTTTGAGCTGCTTGGATCTCCCATCCAAGCATCCCCTGTGAAAATTAAATGCACGGGCTTATTTCTACAATTTGTGGTAGATCCAAGACCTAGGGAACCTTTTCAGTCATCTCAAAGCAGCTCCCAAATCAGGCCTGAAAGTACGGGTTTGATGAGCAATAAGGAAACGGAAATAATATAGCTTAAACCACAGAGGTGCCAGCTTTTACTGCCTTTCATTGAGTACACAATATTTTGCTCCCACTATTTCAAGGGAAATAACACCCCACGCGACTGTTACGGGATGTAAAACGTGTAGAGTGCTCTTCAGATGGAGCTCATAATTGAAACATTTGAGCACCAATGAACTCCCAAATGTAAAGTTTTTAATTTTCATTCAACCAGGACATTAAAATTTGGGGTGGAGAGGAGGAAGAGGGGGGAATTACTACCTCAGAGTGCTTTTAAGCTCTATTCTTTCTGATACAGTAACTGGGATAGGCACAGACAAGATGCCAGCAGCTGCTGGCATACTCCAGCATCTTGTTCCAGATGCCACTGCTTGCTTCTCCTTTGTCATCCCTACCCCAGTCCCACATAAGAGGTTTATCAAGAGGCTTATCAAGGAGATGTGGTCTGCTGCCTACAGCACACAAACGAAGGAGTGCCACCACCTTCATCCACATGCCTTCACCCTGCATGAGGAATGAACAGGTATCTGTCAGAGAATGGGGTTCCCATCAAGGCCGCTGTCTAAGTTTGGGCCAGACGCACCCAAGATGAGCCCAACAGGCTGAAGCACTCACTGAAAGAACCAGCTCAGACTTTGTCTGAAGGCACATGACCATCATTTATAGGCAGAAGAAGGTTATCTTGCAATACTGATCTTATTCAGCAGGTTCCAAGATGACTGGGTATGACACCAGGCTAAAAAACCTCAGCTAAAACCACTAAATGCTCTGCACAGCCGACGGGGAAGCCCTGAAAAGCTGGTTTGTGTCTTGCAGATCCTCAGAACATCTTCTCCAACACTTGTGTTCATAAACAGTCTTAGAGCGATTGCACACTACATCATGCACAAACTCAGGCTCCTCACATACCTGCATCCCATACTCTTCACAGGTTGCCTGTTTCACTGCCTGGACAGAACTCAGGGTATTGAATTTAGCCCAGAAAATTTTGGAATGGTTGACATTTGCTTGCCAGAAAGACTGCACTTCTCCCCCCAGAAAAAACCTGCCTGCAGATGAGAAACAGCTAGGATGGCTGCTTTTGCACAGCTTTCTCCACCCCCGCCCCCAAAATTATATTGGCCATGACACCTCCAGAAAGGACCCTGCCACCACTTCTCATCCATGTCGAATGGACCAAATCCATCGATTTCAGCACCTGTGTCCATGAGCCACCCAGCTGGGGAATGGCACCCTGATTTATTGAACCTCCAGAGTATAAGCACTGTCTCTTCTCCTGTAGCAGTGCAGAGAAATACGAGAAGTCTGCCACCTATTAAGTTGGTTTATCATGGTGTTTCAAGTTCTGAGCAGAGAAGGATGAACTTGTGGTTATGCCACTGTATAGAGATGTAGCTTCCAGCAGTCCTAGCCTCCTACCACAGATTGCCCAAATAGTTTCAAGCAGGTCAAATAATCTCTCCCATCAGAATTCCCCACCTTTTAAGTGCCTGAAAAGGAAACCAACCATGGAGCACTCAGACATCAAAATGGGGAGGACTGTATAAACAGATACATATCTCACCGGTGAAGAAACAGGCTGATGTGTTTAATGGTTTATAATGGTTGTTTTAGTTGCCATTAAAGTAACTTCAGAGCATGCAACGCGTCCCTGGATTAAATCTAAATAAATGTAAACAGCAATAAAAAATGGCTTTTATAACAAGAAGGCCTGACTCGTTTGCACCTGTAACTCTAAATATATATAACAGGATGCCAAACTACATACTGCAAGATGGTACAAAGCAAACCAACATTACAGTCATTTGTATAGAAAGCATAATGCCACAGGGAGAGAGGCAAAACAAAATGGACAACTCGCTAGGGTCTGATTGGAATATCTGAGAAAATGCCATTTGCTCGAGTCAGGACTGAGCTACCAAGGGGATGTGTGCCAGGTAAAGCTACAACAAAATGGAGATGAAAACTTTGAATCATGTCCCTGGAAGGAAGATCCATGAGGGTCAGGATGAAGTTCATTTAAACCCACTGAGCTGATACAGAGGGAGTTAGAGAGAGCCGCAAAACAAAATGAAAGGCTCAGTAGGAAGGAGCCTGCACAGGCAGTGCTGCAATGTCAGAAACGCAACACAGTGCCATCTGAAACCTACAGGCACAGTACCAGGGCTTCTGGTACACAGACCAGGAAAAAGCAGCGGGGCACTCCCGGGGAAGGCTTCATCCTGCAACACCAGCGTCAAGCACAGCGCCCTGCAACCCATGTCCCCGCCAGAAGATGCATTGGGAGAGAGGAGGGAAGCTCAGGAGGCTCTGGGGAGGACATCCTCAGCTGGAGTAGAACCACCAGAGGAATGTAACGGAGTCGCATCGATTCACACCGGGGAGAAGGGTTTGCCCCTTTCTTTTGCTCCCACTTGGCATTCTCCTTTGGGTCTCTTATGGGAGAGAAGGTGTCTTAACACAATAGATAATTAGCTGTAATGCATCCTCTGTGGCTGTAAAAACCTAACAGGGCTTATCTAGACCTGATCTAGGCTTCCAGTTATCCTTGTTCTCCCAGTTCCTACCCCCCTACCACCCATCAATATTTGCATGTCAGCTTGACAGGTATTTTGTATTCAAGCTTAATAAAAGTGTTTGCATGTGCCTGTGCACGCTTAGGAGACGGCAGCAGGAAAACACCAGATTTCAACTCCGACTCTCTGAGATGCGGCTCATTCCATCTTCCTTTCCCTGGCAAACAGGGAGCTGAAATAAGAAACGTCAACTTTGGTTGCTCTACTGAACGATAACTGAAAAATATCGAGCTCTTTGTTTAAAAAAAGAAAAAATCCCCAGGATACTGATGCATCACCGTGTTGCATCTGTGTCAAGCTCTGGGTAAACAAGCAGCAACATGAATGAAATCTGTCCAGAAAGACTGCATTTCAGCGCCAACCACGCAATCTCTGGCCAAACCACTGCATATGTAACAAAGTTTGATCTCGCTTGCGAGCGCTCAGCTGCGCTTCTGCCATTTCCTGTGGAAAATTGAAGCTCCGAACGATGTCTATCACCCGGCCCTCGCCGCACCCCGGCCAGCAGCTCCTAAACACTGACACACACACACACAGAGCCCCGCAGGCAGCCCCCGCAGGGACAGACGGGGATGTTTGGCAGCCCCTTCCCTGCGATCCGTCTGGCACCACCGGGAAGGGGCAAACCCACCCCTCCGTCCCCCCGGCCACCCCGTCCCCGGCGGCAGGTGCCTCGCCCGCCCCGCGCCCGTAGGGGCGGACGAACGGACGCCCGCCGACGGATCGGGGGGTCCGCCCGGTCCCGCCCCGGCGCAACAGGTGGTCGGTGGCTCCCTGTCTTGCCCCGCGGCAGCACTCACCGCTGGCGTTCTTGCCGCAGATGAGGTGCTGGTAGGGCTGCAGCAAGCCCCAGAGCTCGGGGTCGTTGTTGACCGTCTGCTCCAACGCCTCCAGGGTGAACCGGGGCGCCTCGCCGCCCTCCTTCTCCTTCTCGGCTGGGGTGGCGGCGGCCGGGGGGCGGCCGGGCGGCGGGAGCGGGGCGGCGGGGCCGGCCAGCACCCTTGCGTGGATGTCGCGGAAGAGGCTCTCGGTGCCGGCGGTGAGGTAGATGGCGGCATGCTCGTGGATGCGCAGGGCCACGCGGCTGTCCACCATCCACCGGTAGAACTTGCCCACGGAGAAGGCCAGCCCGCACCTCGCCGACTTGCCGCGGCTGAAGCGGTCGCCGCCGCTGCTGCTCATGTTGTAGAGGGAGAGGGCACCCAGGGCGGCCGATGTGCAGCGGGCCGCCAGCGTCCAGCCCAGGACGATCTCCATGGCGCTCCGCACCTCGTGCTTGGTGCACTTGGCGAAGCGGAGGCTTAGCCGCTGCGCCTCCCGGGCGATGCGCACCAGCGCCCGGCTCACCAGCGTCGAGAGTCGCGCCGCCGCATCCCGGCTCCCGGGGCTGGCGGCGGCCGGCGCCCGCGGCTCCCGGCGCGACGGGGGCAGCAGCAGCGCCTCCACCTCCTCCAGGCTCCAGGGGACCTCCTCAAGGTCGGGCAGGAGCCGGGAGCACTGCTGCCCCGCGCAGTCCAGCACCTCGGAGTCTTCCGCTAGGACGGTGTTGACAGTGTCGAAGCTGTTGTGCCGACTGTGCATGGAGTCAGTTAGGTGCGGCCAGCAGCTTCCTCCATAGGGGTACGCGGGGTGCGAATCCGAGCAGCACAGCGACAAGTTGGAGGAGCGCACCGAGTCCGCCGCGCCACCATACCCGGAGTCCAGCGTCAGGTCTTCCAGCGTCCTCACCGCCGTCTTACCTCTCCGGGCCATCGCTGCACTTCATGCTGCACCCGCGGGACCCGGGCGGGGAGCGGCTCACAGGAAAGGCGGAAAAGGGGAGGAGAACAGCGAGACCCGTCGGCCGCTTCGCTTCACCCCGCCGGCCAGAGGCTGCTGCTACTGCCTCCTCGCCAGACTCCAGCCAAGCGGCGGTGCTGCCCGCCGCCCTACTCCCGGATCCGACTACCGCTCCTGCACTGCGCCGCGCCGCCGGCCCGACACCGCACCGCAGCGCAGCGCCGGCCAGGCGGCGCGGGGAGGGCGGGGCCATGCAAAGCGCCTCCGGCTCTCAGCCAATGGGGCGGTGCGGGGGGCGGAGACATGCAAAGCACTTCGCCTGGAGGCCAATGGGGCGGCGCCCTGCGCCTGACCGAACCTCCCCTCAGCTCCGCGGGGTGCGGAGCCGCTCCGCGCAGCACCGCGCAGCGAGGGGCGCGGCCCTGCCCCGCCCGCTGTCCCCGGCGTGTCCCGGCGACGAGGGGCCCCTCCCGGCCCGCAGCCTGTGAGCAGGCGGGACCCCGCGGTCCAGTTCCCCTCCGAAGGCGCGGGTTTTGCGCGCCCTGAAGATGAAGACCACATTAGTCCGGGGATGGCCCAGCCGGGTGCATGGCGATGCGCGGGGCGGAGTGCGTCTAACCGCGTCCTCTGTGCCCCCCGGCTCCGCAAGGTGTGAAGCACGTTTCCATTACATCCACCACAGCCCCTGCTCAAGCGCGTAAACCGGCTTCCCGCTCCAGCCCTCCCTCGGTTTTGACAGCAGCAGTTTCCTGATGTTGCTATAGGCAGAAGAAAGGGAGCACAGGCATACACACAAATAGCATGAGACTGTCAAGATGCTTTGAAACTGAGCAGAAACTGCCACGTAAGAACACCAGGCATCAGTGGAGTCAGGAAGAGCAATTTCCAAATAATTAGAACAAGTACAATAAAGCCCTTAAGTTGTTCTTGAAATTAACCCCACAAGTATCACAAAAGCTTTGGCAAGTAAGATTTGTACCGGGCTTAGGGCACATTTCCTACGCCCATTAAGATTTTTTGTGCAATATACAACTTATCCCCAACTAACGTACTTTAATCTTACACTGCTAGGCTTTAGCAATATTAGGAGTCATCTGCCTAATATCCCAGGCGACAGACTGAGAATGTATATGCTTGTGCATTCTGGTTTTGAAGAAATGTTTTATCCTTTTAAGTGTAAAATACCAGCGAAATTCTATCCCTTTAAGGATAAAAGCCTAGCACACACATTTCTCTATCATGCCAACAGAGGCGGCCAAAATTCTTGAGCAGACAAGGCGAGTCACGTAAGAGATTTCCCCATCCAAACAAGCAAAGCCTGGTGATCCTTCAACAGCAACTTCCTACAGGAAAGGCACTAACACAATTACAGGTAAGTTCATTTGTCAGACAGGTTGGGGAGAACTATGACACCATCAAAAACACTGAGACGGGGTTGCCTTCCAAAGTAAGCCAAGTGCTGTCACAGACTGGTTTCTCAGCACATCTTTGGTTCTTCCACAGGGCACACCACACACTCAATAGGTTTCCACAGAAATCCTCCACACCACCACATCCTGATAAAAGAGCTGAGGACGGGAGCAACCTGAACGTCAGCCACTGTCATGCTGTGAGTGAGAAGTTGAGGCCCACGCTGCCGGCAGCAGCTAGGCTTTGGGGGAGGATCATGGAAAAAGCGAGCATGACTTGAGAGCAAAATCGGATGGACTTTGTGGCCACTCAGCTGTACGGCTCGCAGTAGAGCCCTCTGCTGTCTTCAGTGCTTCAGTGCAGTGGCTGTTCATAGAATCATAGAATACTTAGGGTTGGAAAGGACCTTAAGATCATCCAGTTTCCACGCCCCTGCCATGGGCAGGGACACTTCACACCAGACCGTGTTGCCCAAGGCTCTGTGCAGCCTGGCCTTGAACACCGCCAGGGATGGAACATTCACAACTTCCTTCAAAACCCACATTTCCATTTGTTAGAAGGCAGGCACCACTGGGACCAAATCCCTCACTCTCCATTTGCCTGACTCTGTCCCTGTGCTTTCACAAAGTGCCACAACGGCTCACACTGAGCACACGTGACAGCATGTCAAACTGAGGGACAGTCCATGTTTGGGAGGTTTTCTAACAAATGGTTTGTTGGGCTTCATGGAGGCACAAGGAGGGTGTCCAGGGAGGATGGAACAAGTGATCTGGGTGGTTTGCTCACCAGCCTTTGTGAAAAATGATGTTTCAGAGGTCAACACCAGCCTTAGGTGTTGTATCATTTTTAGGCTGTAGCATTAACTATGCATTGAGATGAATAGGAGAAGTGAGAGGTCGACAATTGTCTCAGGCTGTGTGCAGACTCAGGCATTCATATTGCCAGCTCAGAGCCAGTTTGTAGTTGAAAAGAGGTTGGAGGGTTTTTTTGTTTTAATTTGGAAAGCAAACTACTGAAGACATTACTGGAGATAATGTGCAACTCACATCTTAATTTGATTCCTGGTCACGCTACCAGTTCAGAAGATGTTGCCACACTTGGGCACAACAAAAGCATGTCAGCAGCTGGTTTAAACCTTTAAAAGTGGCAGCAAGAGCTCCTGACTCATTTAGTCAAAAGATTAGTGACCTTCTCATTGAAAGGCCTTGAAGTTCAAATCACTGCAGAGTGGCCATTCTGGATCTCCAGCAACCTTTTGGTGCCTAAAGGATTTCACCTGCCTGGGTGCAGATACATCGGCTGCTGCATCCTGAAGCAAGCTTCTGAAGGACATCTTTAAGTGCTCCTGAGACAGGGTGACTTCCTTCTTGAAACCGCCCTGGGAAAAGATGGGATCAAACAGTTTGAAGGGAAAAACACACCCTTGGAACATGTGGGGTGCCTGCATGGGGTGAGCTCTGGAGACAGTCCTGAGCTTTAATCCAGAAAGGGTACCACACCTCTCCTGCCCTGGGCCAAAAGGCAGGTGTCTGCCGCTGTACCCCCACCCTGCAAGCCTTATGGCTGGGGTCATTTGCTTATAAGACAAAAACATCCTCTGCAGAAAACAAAGCCCCTTTATATGCCAAAGTCTGGGGGGCAAACAATTTTCAGCTTGTTGGAGACATGGACATCAATTATCCTTACAGAGAATTCAGACAGGGACTGATTAAGTACCATTCCAGGGTGATAAGTGCCAGCAAAAACTCTGAAAGAGGGAAACAACCACGTTTTAAAAAGGTGCTCAGGGAAAACTTAACCGAATGGGAATTGGACAATTGTATCAGGAGAGAAGTAAGTGCCACGGGGCTTTCCTTCCCACCCAGTCAACTGCCTGCAAATGGCATTTTCTTGCTGTAGGGAAAATCATGACAGCAAACAGGCTGCTGGACAGAACAAGAATGTACCTAGGATAGGGCTGCTGCATATTTTTATATTCAGAATGCAGTGCACTGCAGTACAGCTTGGATCAAAAGCAGCACTTACAGGATCTCCCAGTGCTATCCCTGACTGCTAGGAACAAGTGGCGAGCCTTAGGAAAACCATGCTTGGGAAGTCAGAGTGCTAATGTTTCTAATCACAGGAGGTTAATTTACAAAGCAAGGCTGTAATCCTGTACCTGTAAAGCAGGTGTGAAATGCACATCCTGGTGGAGGAGCCTTTGGGGCTGCTGTGAATAAGACATCCATCAAAGAAGGAACCAGGTAGCACTGTCCCTGCAGGGCTACTGGGTGACTGCTGCCAACTGTTCAGAAAAGCAGGCTCAGGAGTTGACTGGTGTTGCTCCCCAAGCACACACATCACAGAAAGGAGTGGGGATGAGTGACGCAATGAGGCCACCAGCTCACTAGGTGGATGGGAGGCACTGGTGGTGCCTCCAGTGTGAGTGGGAAGGAGGGACACATGGAGGCTGAATGAATGCTGCACAATCCACTTTTTCCCATCCGGATCAGCTCTGTCCTGCTGATTTCAGCAACCAGCTACATTAGGAGCCCTGGCAAGGACTCAGCAGAAGCTGTTGCCCCACGGAGAGGCAAGGTTCAGCCGATCAGCTCCTTCTCTTGCAGATACTAAGGAAAAAGCCCGTCCCTGAATTTCAGCTCACTACTGCCTAGCCAAACTCCTCTGCTGCACAAAAGCAGCAGCTCCTACTTCCCACTGAGCTCAAAACCCTTCCTGACTTTCTTCCTGCAGTCCCCACACCACTGTATGTCGAGAGTAGAAGTCCATTGGAAATGTGTGGACTCATGCATGGCTCCCCCCCGAGCTATTACTTGGGATTTTTCAGAAGCTCAGATTCTCAGAGAAACTGCCAGCCAAAACCAAAGCTGTGGAGCCCATGGCCTCATATGTTTTGGAAGCCAAGAGCATAAGCAATTTGAGAAAGAGATCTGACAAATTCCTGAAGGCTAAAGCCACTGGTAATTTAAACAGAATGATGCACATGCAGTCTTCATCTGAGGAAGTTTCTCAACAGCTGTTTGCCAGAAAAGGGGAGGTTTTGCCAGGGGAAGGAGCACTGCTCAGTTCCTCATGGGTCTGTTGTTGGTGGCTGTGCAAGACAAGATAATGCACTGCAGAGATGGGACCAGAACCCCGAAGGCAGTCCCTTGGTTTAAGCCCTTACTCCCACACCAGCCAAGGGCACTACCACCAGTTTGCAAGTGCAACTTGGTTCAGAGGTCTGCACAGCCAACACAGTACTTACTGTCTTTACAAGATCTTGGATTTTGTCCTTTGTTCTAATGAACCTTTGGCTGCAACCTCTAAGCGAATCCTGACAGGTTTTAATCTCTTTGTTTCTTAAACCATGTGTGATTAAGACTGCAACATCCCTGGATGGTCCAAATAATCTTGCTGTTTGAAACAGCCTTCCTAGCATCTAACCTACTAACGTGAAAAATAAAAACATGCTCCCAAACTTGTTTTGACGACTGGCATCACTGTCTCATTTTATCTTAGGCAGTACTACTAAAACCATATACAGAGCCAAGCAGAATCCATATGCGGTTAGCCCCCAGCCAGCAAATGTAGGTGCTTCTTGCAGTTTGCTATACCACTCCAAAAAGTGTAACAGCGTTTGCCTGCTTTATGTGCAGGAAGATTATACATACATACTGCTTTTCGATCAGAACTAAAAGAAACAGGAACAGCAGGCTTTCTAGAGGACAGAGACAGTCCAGACACTGTTCAGCCAGTGGAAATTTCCATTCCCACCCAAGACACAACAAACCTGAGTAAGGGATACATACATAGGTATATGGGAAGACT